GCTGTCTTAGACAAAGCATAAAATATGCGCTAGCACGTGCATGTGTTTTATACATAACGCAAAATACTCAATTTTGCTGCATTAGAGCTACCGAATTCATGGTTCAAAATGCATTAACAGGGTATATGCTTAATAGTCCAAAGCAAGACGTTTAAATGTTATTTTTTTCTGTCATCAGGTTGATATCCTTTTTTGCACTACTGATTCATCCTTTGTTGAAAGAGTAAAAAAATGTAGAAAAGACTGACATGTTTATGTATTTAGAAAACAATCTGGCCAGTGACTTTCTGATAATTAAATACATTTTATTTTTCTCAAACATGTTTGTGGAATTAATCCAATTTAAATCAATTTATCGATTTTCTTTTAATTAAAAGGCTCTTCATGATGTTGGTATGATTGCGTCCTTTGTCAGAGGATGTTGCAATACAATGGAGCTCATTTAAATCAGTGTTGCTCTAGTCTGTATAGTTTGACAAGAGGAATGTTGCATTACACACCAGGTGGCTTCCTATGACCTTTTCACCTTTTTGTGCCTACAGGCTTTCTAAACATGTAAACACTCCTTGGTGCTCAGTATACCACTCACTGACTAGATTTGAGGTTTCAATCCTACTTGGCACAGCACAATGATACTGCAGGTTAAGAAAAGATAAGACCCTTTCTAACTCTTTCTAACAAGATAATTTATAAGGCCCCATTCATTTCATTTGTACATTTCTTAACCAAGGCCATAAAGAAGAGTGATAGATATTGAAACAAATTCTGTAGATTATAATAATGTACTAAGAAATAAAACAAATGGCCTTTGTTTGCATAAACAGTTCACTGTAAATCTGTGTATTTTTTCATGTAATATTTTTTGGGGGCATCAGATTAAAATGTATGCTAAGAGGTGAGCAATTACAGGGGGAAAAAATGTTTAAATGGAGATAGATACTATCTCCATTTGCCTCAATTCTTCTAGAAAGTTTGCAAGGTTTAATTTCCCTGATCATCTGACGGACTGCTCCAATATTTACCCAGGGTGTTGGGTTTGCACAGTATTTGCCCCAGCAGCCATGCACTGTCAGCACCCTCTCCACTGACCAGGTTCACTCAGAGTTCAGGCCTAAATTAATACACAAAAGCCACGGGCCTGTCCAGCAGGGGATGAGAGGTCAATCAGAGTGTTATCTCTCTCAAAAATGAATTATCTACTACAAACTGAAAATTGAATTGAATGTCTAGTAAAAAATAGACAATAATAGATTTTAAATGAATTAATTAAATGAAACTGCTATTGAGGTTTAGATATTAGTTCAACTGAAAATTTCACTTAAATAAAGGTGAAATCATGACAAACTGGCGAAACCGGCATATGTTTAATTTTACTATTATGCTTTAAGCTATATTGTAGTATGCCCAGTTTTAGTTAAATCCATCCCAAGACAGTCCAACTAACTAAATGACAAACACTGGTGGTAAGGACATGCTGCTGATTAAAAACATCTTTATTTCAGTATGAAAATTCATAAATATGCCACAATGACACAAACATCAATGTTGAAATGGCCATGCAAATGAAACTTCAAAAATCAAATTCAAATATATCAGTTGGTCAGCCAGAAGGGGAAAAAAGCTACAATGTTGCATGTTTACTTAAAGTTATTAAGTATCTAGTATTTGTTGCTTGCTCTTTTGGGTTGTGTGGCTCTGGGCTCCTATGGGTCTCCCATCTGTGGGCATCAGTGGAAGAGCTACAGTGCTGCAGAGACAGATGTTCAGTCAGCCTGGAGGAGGAGGCTGTTTTTCACCAGATTGTCAGTGTGCAGAAAAGGCTCACACTGCAGAATGTGGGGCAAGAGGAGCATCGGAGAATTAAAAGAAGATAAAAATAGCATCCTCAGACAATAATGCGTATAAAGAAATAGGCTATGTGTGGAAAGACGCGGAGAGAGAAAATAAATGTGCATCTGTGAAAGAGGCAGTCAGCAATAGTCATCAGAAAGTCTGTAATTTTGTGAAATAGTGGAGTGACTGTTTTTAAGATTACATTGGGTAAGATTGGCACATATTTCAAAAAAGATGCACTTACTGTTAAATGATGCCACAGTATTGCATATCACTTTGCTGGCAAAAATTACTTGATAGATTTGATCATTTCGTGGAAAATTGTATAGATATTTAAATCTCCCTGGAAGGACAATATACTACAATTCAAAAGTTTAAGGTCAGGAAGTTAAAAAAAAAAAAAAAGCGAATACTTTCATTCAGCAAGGATGCATTAAATTGATGAAAAGTGACAGTAAAGACATTTATAATATTACAAATTATGTCAATTTCAAATAAATGTTTTGTAAACATCCAATTCATCCAGAATCCAGAAAAAAAATCCTGCACAACTGTTTTCAACATTGATAATAATAAAAATGTATTTTGAGCACAAAATCAGCATATTAGAATGATTTCTGAAGGATCATGTGACAGTGAAGACTGGATTAAAGGCTGCTGAAAACTGAGTGTTGCCATCACATGAATAAATTATATTTCACAATTTATTAAAAACAACAACAGTTACCTCCAGTATTTAATAAAATGCAATGGGCAAAAAAGGAGAAATTTCATGTTAAAAATTCAATGACAAAAATCATATTGACAGGTACACCGCCTTTGCTGTGATGTTTAGGGCAGATCTGAAGCTTGCAAGGTATATACTCTCCCTGCTGGGTGTGCTTGTCAGAGAGTCTTTTACAAATCAAATGCCTGGCTTGACTTCCAGAGTCTTGTTCAAGTCCCTCTGAAGCATGTCACTCTGCTGGGGTGCATGACCTCAAAGAGATAAAAGAATACTGTATACACTATTCATGGGCTTGAAACAGGGGTCAGGGGGTCATTTTATATGTCTTCTTGTCTTTCACAGACATACAGTCAACAGCTAAGACAGTGGCCACATGCAGATAGCCACCTCCTCTCGCTGAAAACAGGAAGAACAGGAAGTCTTCCTCTTGTGCTCTCCACACAGACACGTATGACCTTCCCCCTCTCGCTCAATCGTATCAATGTCCTCGCGAGGCCATATAATCAGTCCACCGCCTTATAAGCTGAGTAACCGAGAGGGAAAACTTCAAAGACCCTGCAGCACACGAGCTGGGCTGTTGCCAGCAAGCAACCAACAGATATTGGCTTAGGCAGTGTAAAAACAAACATGTGCAAGATTTTTTTTATAGTATAACTCTGATTAGATTATGAGAGAGAAGTGAAGTTATTGCACCTGCTCAGAGAGGGCGAGTTGGAAAATTGCCAGTTACTCTCAAAACCAACACTACAGTGTTTTTGTCATAACTGAATTGACAAATTTCCTGCATGTGGTTTTGTTTGTAGGGATCTTATAGCTTGGCAAAGTGTAACCGGTGCTCCGTCACTCATATGATTTAGAGAGGCAAGTAGTGCGCGCCAGAGGGAGACAAATGAAAGCTGACAGTTCATTTTATCAGTGACAGATCGTTGATCTCATGGACTGCCTCCCTGGTCTCTTTTAGAAGGCGGTGAAGGTTGAATATTAGTGGATACTGATACAACCAACGCCCCCTTCAGAATCCCAAAGGCTTTATATTCCAGCCAGCAGAATATGAGTGCAGCATGACACACTGACGCTACAAAACCAAAGTATCAGATTTCAGTAATAAAATTAACAAGATATTATTTTTTGATTCATATTTTTCCTTCCTACAGCTAAATCAGTTAAACAATTTTAAAGTTTGTGTTTGTGGCTTCATGAGGAAAATATCGACTGTAATTATGTTTAAAAGGGATAGTTCACACAAAAATTTTAATTCTGTCAATATTTTCTCATCTTCATATTGTTCCAAACCTGTATGACTTTATTTGTTCTTTTCAACACAAAAGAAAAAAAATAGAATGTTTTAACTTGTTTTTGACCATGCAATGAAAGTCAATGGGGTCCAAAACAGCATCGGACAGCATGACAGCAAACAACCCTGGAATTTTTTTTTTATTCCACAGAAAATAAGAAATGCATGCAGGTTTAGAACAACATAAGGATGACTTTTTTGGGGTGAACTAACCCTTTAAGCATATGCACATGAATAGAGGTTTCTCTGAAAAATTCTTATATCAAACTTTTTCGGCTCAGAAGTTCCCAGAACTATCCATTTCAACAGTTTCAAATGGTCCTATACAATTTAGCCATTAGCATAAGAGAAAACTAAGAACTGAATTTATTCTAAGAGCTAGTGAAAACTGTTCCTCTAAGTTCACCATGATTGATATGTGGGTGTTGACATACACTGATACCATGGAAACTCTTTGACAAACGATCATACTTTCCCCCCATCTACTTTGGAAATATTTACCACACAGGTCCTTAAACACCCACAAAAACAGCTTCTAAGTGCTGCCTGCCTGAAGTGTCTTGTGCATGTGTGGGGAGGTTAATTAGCAGCAAGGAGCAGAACTGAGTTCAAAGGGTCAAACCAGCGACAGAGATGAGCCCAAGGCTTTGCACGGGCAGAAATGTTTTCATACCATTTAACAGGAAAGGCATTATAAGCCAATTGATAGTAATTGAATCTCATAATGGAAAAGACGACAAACTCTGAAACTGTTCCAGTGCCTTCATATTGACCCCTGGTCTCTAGAGGGGTGTGTGACCATGTTGGAGTGTGATTTCTGTCAGGTCGGGGCAGTTTAGGGGGGGGGGGGACTCTCAGATGACAGTTCTGCCCCTCCCCCAAGTGAAACACAAATGAAAAGGAATGCAGAGATAAAAAGCCTGTGTCCCCAGATAAGGGGACAGAAGAAAGGAGTAGGCGAATGCTAAAAGAGCTCTCTTGGAGAGATGCGAGGCGCTGATGGCAGTGTTGGTGGTAGGAGAGCAGGTTCCTCTCATCAGCCTAGGCCTGTGTTTGATACTGGGTCTTTGTCGCTCTTTCAGCAGTGCATTGTTGGGAGGTGTAATCCTGGGCGGATTACAAAGGCAAGATCCTTTCATATGGCTGGAGGCCAGGGAAATTCTCCTACGAAATTTTCATATCATCCAAAAGAGGTGAGGGATGTCACAGTATGATTTATTCATGTGCGACTATTAGAGCTTACACATACTTGTTCCTCCTTGTTTGTACTGCACATTGAATACCATAAAAAGTAAATTTATAGGAGCAAATAATTTGCAGCTTCAAAATCTGTGCTCCCAGTTGAGCTACAAATGAAACACAACAGTTAAACAGACAGGAAGCAAATTGCACAGTTCTTCTATTGTTGTCTTTTTAGAAGCAAGGAGTACAATTACAGCGCTTGCCGGCTGGAGTGGTTTTTGTGGTTTGCTGTGCTGAAACAAGGTGTTTGCAAAGAGAAAAAGCATACTTTTTTTTCAGCACTGGGCTACATGAATACTTAGCTGTCATTGCAACATTTGCAAACGCTGCAGTGCACTGCTTCACAGATGCATGTGCTTACAGATACTCAAGCTGCTATCAATCTAACGCCTCTTCGATTCTTTTAGAATTTGTAGTACCGCTTTCATTGCAGATCAGAAATGTTTATCTACTGTGACTAAGAAAGACAGTGGAACGATACAAACTATTTTTATGAACCTCAGTTATATCTGATTATAAGCATTATACAGTAATCCTTTTTTTTTTAACATTGCAAAGTCCATTTGGTTAGAAGGTTATTTTATCCATTACAAGATGTTCTTCTCTAAAAGCATTTTTAAATCCTCTTTTTTTGCAGATACCCACAAGAATTCCCCCACAGATGTAAGTGCACAGCTGTTTCATGATTCTAATTAATTGCCCACAGAGATTTCCGTTCCGATTCTGTCTTTCCCGGAACAATGGTTCTTTAGAAAAAAAGTCGGTTTTACAAAAATGATTCGATTTTCCTCCCACAGCATTTTCATTTTATGTATGTCTGTCGAATTAACTCGACAAAGTTTCTACTTTTATAAAGTTCTTGCTTTTTTGTTTTAATTTTTTATTCTAGTTGAATCCAATCTTGAGGATAGTTCAGATGACAACCGCAGCTCCAGTCTGGGACGCTCTGCCCCCTCAGATGATATGTCAGTGGCCTCTGACTACCAGGAGGAAGGTGCTTCTGAACGTGAGTTCAAGCCACTCTTTGTGCAGATGAGTGTGTTTACTTGTATGTCTAATGCGTGTAAGCTGTGATAGGTAGAGACAGGAAACTTGTCTAAAGCATCTTTAGCACATTTCTTGTTGTGGGGGTTTCACTGGTAGTGATGAAATACCCCAGTGGAGGTGTTTGGTAACAGATCACCCTCTAGTGGATTCCCACAACTCTGCTGCTGGCATTGAGGAGTGTGTGGAGGGGGAATGGGAGGGTGGTCTTTACCCTTCATACAAAAGAGATGAAGCACTCCCTCTAGTGGCAGGCGAGTGGGATGTTTGGGCAATGTGTGCTGCTGAGGTTCTTGGGGTTAAGCCGTGGCATGTTTGCCTGTGTTTAACAATGGTGTGGAAATGTTAGCTTACTTGTCCTTCTGACAGCAATAATATTTACACTTGTATAGCCTACTACAATTTGAAAAATGCAAACTGGAACAAAATTCAAAGTTTAAAGAGAGAAAAACAGTATGTACTGCAGATTGAAAATGGCTCGTCAAAATCTGTATTTTGTCTTTGTTGATTATTTTTTTTTACTAATGTGAGCAGTTTGCTGTTGCTTCGGGCCAGATCTGTGACTGATCATCCCCGGCTCCTCTGTAACCAGCTGGTCTTGAAATTCAACCCTGTACCTGAGGGGCGTTTTATCCATTTTCTCTAATTTATCACTCACCATACAACTGACAATTTTCTCAGAGGGATCAAAAGCCTGCAGCTTTGCAGAAAAGAGCTAAAAGAAAAGAATTGAGGGATATTCAAGTCAATAGAATTGATCTGTAGTGACCAGCTCAGAGATGATACTGTAATCCAATAAAGAGATGAGACTGTAATCCTCTCTCTTTTTTTGCTAGATTTTTACTTCATAGAACTATTTTATTTTTTTAACAGTTTTCCAGATTGAACACAAAAAAAATGTCAGGCTACACAATTGCCATTTGTGAAAACCATAAATTATTGTTTTTATCTTGAATACGCCGCCTTGTTCACTGACACGAAACTTCTCACCACTCTGGTAAAAATGAAAACTCCATCGTTCCATTTATTTGATATGTTGTTTGTAATTTAGCAACAAAAGGGGTCAAACCTGGATGTGCTCCTTTGATTCGCTTCTTTGCCGGAAAAGGCATATAAGTCAAAGAGGAGTAACTCGAAGAAGATTCGCTTCATGTCGCTCTTTCAATAAAGATAATGACCAGCAAGGGCAAGTGCAGTTCATGGTTCATATTTAGTTCACCAGTTGGGAATCTCACATCAAACCCTATGAGAGGGCATTTGGAATTTGAGAGGGAGAGCATTTTGGAGCATATGAAATTAGAGAGAGGAATATAATCATGAAGATTAAGATTTAAATGTGCACCTTTTCCAGCAATTCAGATTTAGTTGTTTTCTCATTTGCTTTTTATTCAATAAGGATGCTCCATGCTGAGCCCTTTTTTTGCTTAGCTCGAGTGAATGAAAAACAAAATGCATATGTGATATGAATGAGCTGGTGCCCTTGCATGTGTAACCCCTCTCTCCCGAGTCCTCACCGCCACACCTCGTTCCGAGTGGGTCTCAAACCTGGGTCTCCGGCATGGGAGGCGGACGCACTAACAAGGTGGCTAAAGACTGCAGCCTCTAGTGTGAGGTTTACCAGCACAGCACCTACTCTCTTACCTCTGTTACACATGCTGATATTTTCAAATTTACCCTATTGTAGCGGAGGGTAAATGTAGTTCAGGCATTCAATGCTTGCACCGTTACTCGCTCCGTGATGTCACATGCTCGCCTGTGTGAGGAAGGGAAATTGACTGTGTCTGCTTGTGCTCTAACCTGACTGGAGGATGAGGCAGCCGTTGACTCGTCGATGGGAGGAGTCAGTGTTATTTCATTTAGCCAGCGCTGCTTCCCTGTCTCCAGAGGGAGGTTTGACACTAGATTTGTTATAGCTGACAGGAACAGATGGGTGCTCTATTGTCAGGGCCCCTGTCTGTATGGTAATGTGAACTGAGTTTCACCCGCAGACCGCACGGTTGACCCCACCGTGCCTGCAGCCTCGTCTGGATGACAGCAGCCCTGCAGCTGAGGATGGGAAGCCCAGGGCAGAGGGAGCCTCACGGTGGGGTGGATATTTTGCCAGGTCAAGTTTAGGAAATGCAAAAGTTGTAAAAAACAACAACAACAAAAACATTCTTATTGCTTTGAATGGGCTGAGTAGATATTTGCTTGGGTTGATTGCTAAAATGATGTTATAGCTGACAGGAACAGATGGGTGCTCTATTGTCAGGGCCCCTGTCTGTATGGTAATGTGAACTGAGTTTCACCCGCAGACCGCACGGTTGACCCCACCGTGCCTGCAGCCTCGTCTGGATGACAGCAGCCCTGCAGCTGAGGATGGGAAGCCCAGGGCAGAGGGAGCCTCACGGTGGGGTGGATATTTTGCCAGGTCAAGTTTAGGAAATGCAAAAGTTGTAAAAAACAACAACAACAACAACAAAAACATTCTTATTGCTTTGAATGGGCTGAGTAGATATTTGCTTGGGTTGATTGCTAAAATTATAAAAAAATATTGCACACAAGACAACACACCGATCATTTGATTTCAGTAATAACAAATAGAGCAGAAAAGGTGTATGGTTTTTTTCATTCTGTCAGGAGTTTGTGTGTTTAAGAGGCTAATATCAATGCATGTCCTATCAAAGGCTGCACATGCTCTGGGCTCTTTGTGTGCACTGATTTGATTTATGTTCAGAAACAAAAGCCCCTCTCGTTCCTGTTATCTTACCCCACCAAAGCTTTACAGGCAAAGCTGGAGAAGCCAATCAGAAAGGCCAAGGATTCAGAGTTAAGTTGTTTCTTTATCGCAAATTAGATCATCAAGATGTAAATTAAATTTTTTTCTCAAGATCTTAGAGCCTCGTAATTAATGGTTGTGAAATTGATTGTTGTAATGAATCTCTGGAGAGTCCAAAAAGAGCTTGCATCAATGAAAAAGACATTTTAGCTTGGCAATTAAGCAACCCTTAGCAAACTATAGTGACCAAATCTCATTTTCGTCATCATCACAATTACTGTCAAGGATTTTCGGCAGAGCTCTGTCCTGCAGCCTCGGATTGTCATATTTATCCTAATGCAATGGCATGTGGAGGTGAAGTCATGTGATCATAAACACCTTACATGACCTCAGTGTTTGAGTCGCCGTTAGCTGGTACTCATCCATGCCTCTTAACTCTATACGTTTACTGTGAGTGCATGCTCACACTTTGAGTGTTTCTTCCTCCCTACAGTAAACTTTTGACCCCTAGGTCTTGTTCTGGTCAATTCGTGACCTGTCTGAACTCTGTAGGGCAACTGAGTCTACATTATTGACCTGTATGCCATAGCAACAGCATAGTTCAAATAAAGTTTCACTGACTGGGACAAGATTTGGATCTTGCCCCCCCCCCCAAAAGCATCCATCCATTCTAGTAATCATCCATTAATTTCCTCCAATCGCGATTAATATTCCGATGCGGTTTTGTGCAGTTAGAAAGCGTAAAGTATACGGCATTGGCAGGCTTCATAGGGCACGTTAAATGACTTTGGCAAAGATGACACCATCTTTCCTATGCGCTGTCGTTTTCCTACCCTCTGTTTCCCTTCGCATTAATTAATTGAAATTGACACATATTAGACCGGAGCATCCTCAGTGCATCGCTGCTGCTGCCATACAGGGTTCAAAAGTTCACTTCACTCTCAGAAGGCTACGATGCTGCAGAAATTGCTGATATGTGCTCTCGCTCCATCTCTCGCTCATTTGTAATTTCACTGTTTCACCCAAACACGCTCTCACTTTGGCTCCTGCCCAGTATACTGATCATTCGGAAGAGATTTTCAACTGTTAATGTCATATCATTGTCAGTCTATTCATTGTGCAATGATGAGTCAACAGAGCGTACATCACTATATTCATCATGCATTTTCTTTCATTGGTTAGGAAAATATTGCTTCTGTGTTCAATATAATAAGTCTCGGTCTAGTAAAAGTTAGCGTGGGTGAGGAGAGGAAGTTTTTCATGATTTGCAAGGGATGAAATAAGCAGAATAGGAAGTCACAACCTTGAGTGTCTAATCTTCTTTGCAGCCTGTCAGTATTGCAGACAAATGGCAAAACGATTCAATGCTGTGGGTTCAGCTAGAGGTTAGCCTTCCCAGGTACCTCCAGTTCTCTCTCTTTCTCTCTCTCCTCTCTCCCTTACCCATCTTGCAAATGAGAATTAGATTTTTCTCTCCACTGGATTCCATTTCTGGAGATTGATGAAGTTTCGATGCAAGGCCCAGGTGGCCTGATGCTTTCATTGGGAAACAAATGAAAGCGTGTGTAGGTGTGTTCGCCTGTACACCCACAGGGAAGGAGTGCTGTTCAGATGTCTTCTATGTCTTTTTTAGGTTTAGCTAAATGCAGATTTGCTCTTGGCAACCGGTCTTTTGCATTCTTAATATTTACTAATGCTTGTGTTTTACAAGGGTATTTGTGGAGTGTTTTTATGCTAGAAATGAACATTAGCTGGTCAAGTACTTTTTTTGTCTTTATATTTACTGACATAATCCATTTGACGTTTCTGACTCTTTGAGGTCTGTTCTACAGAAGCATTTGGAATGTTTTCACAAATTTAAACTGACCAGACAAACTGTTTTTCCATGAAATGTCTTTCTACCCTATGATTTGTCAGCCTGTGTAGGTATCATTTATCTGTCCAAAATGGAAAATATTATGCTAATTGCCTAATTTACCATATGTTTTAAATTGAGTGTTGAAACATGTAATAATCATAAAAGCGTTTCCCCCCACATGGTTCTGAATTTGAGTAAGGAGCTTCACGAGTGAGAGGCTATATTTAAGTTTGGGAGATTTCTGGCCTGGTAATGCACATTACTGCAGTGTGTGTGATAAAACACAACCATCGGTAACCACTGAACCAAATAATTTTCATGATGACCGGCAGGGCCATGA